TTTTTTTTAATATCATAAATTCAAAGGCATAACCTCTTTAGGAAACTTCTATCCCTGACATTTGCAATTTTTTTTGTGAAAGACCTTTATATTCAACACATGCATCATCAGGTCTGTGATACATTATTATTTTTATGGAGAAACATGAAGAGCATGTGACAAAAGATTATTAGATGATGAGCAATAGAAGTACTTTTATTTTGAGATCTATAAAAGTGCCGAGTCAATAACCTGAGTTGAATCGTGGATATCCATGTAGTTCTTTTCAACTCAGTTTTATGCATTCTGCGAAGTCAGCCAGCGCCAGTCTGGAGTTGTACTTATTCAGAAATCCTTTTATTTTTTGATCAAGTTTCGAGTAGTCAATATTGTGACGTCTTTTCATTTCATGTTTCTCACTAGCGAGTAATCAACCATGTTTGTTGAATGTGTCATGTGTTCTTTATTTCAGAAACGTGAGGCCCCACCTGGTGAGAAGCCCGAAATTGTCAAAACTCACTTGCGAAACATGATCATTGTCCCTGAGATGATAGGAAGCGTTGTTGGAGTGTACAATGGCAAGACCTTCAATACAGTCGAAATCAAGCCTGAGATGATCAGCCACTATCTCGCCGAGTTCTCAATCTCGTACAAGCCCGTCAAGCACGGTAGACCAGGTATTGGTGCCACCCACTCTTCAAGGTTCATTCCTCTTAAGTGAGAAATCTCAGCAACACAACAAACATTATTTCTAAGAGCTTCTTATGTTTGTTTCTTTCTTGGTACTTATTTAGCCCCTTCTTATGCTGCTGGAATTTTCTATTGAGGCATACCTTTTATATGACGCTGTCTGATAGATTACAGTTTGTGTAACGATATTTATGAACTTAGTTTGAATTACATATTTTTAGTCTTGATATTCAGTTAATCTCGTGTATTCCTAGCATTCTTCCATAGTGATATTTTGAAATAAATGCATAACCAGTTTCAACACCAATTTAGACAGGCCATTCCAAACCAAGATTATGGCTTGTGCCTAGGCTTATTGACCTCCTAAGGGTTGGTTTGAATCCCATTTTTTGAGAATATGTGATTTAAAGGTAGAAAAAATTTGTGATTTACTTGTAAATTATTTTATTGGAAGAATGTATGGTTGAAAATGAGAGAAAAATGAATTTTTAGAAAATCGGGGATCAAACAGGCACTAATTGTGGGGCGTGCTTGACATGTCTAACTACGGC